GAATCGTACGGTGTCGAATAATTTGGTGTCGAATAAATCTGTGTCGAATCGAGCGGTGTCGAATCGTACTGTGGTCAATAGAGTACCACCCTAAATGAGCACCGTTACTACTTAGGCTATTGCCGGATAGACGGGGTTTGGTACGCTTTGGTTCGCTCGCTCGACGGGCAGCGGTTCTTCGCCGCAAAGTTCGGTTTTGGATATTGCGTTGTTAGAATCATGGTTGATTTTCGGAGCGGTATGACAACTACATATGATTTGCTACTGCTCAAAGTTCGACAGTGGTGACTGGAAATCGGCAGCGGTTCAGAACAGCTGACGTCGTGAAACGCTAATCCGATAGAAATGGAAGTCAGCAACGGCCCGGAACGACGCACAAGGTCGTGAGCTACTAGTCTGACGGAAAAGGAACCGGCAGCAGTTCGGAACGGTTTGACACCGCGAAACGCTAGTCCGGCTAGGATGTCGAGGAGAAGGACTTACTAAATAAAGCAGGTATTAATTGAATTGTCGAATTCAATCCTTTTCTTCCGAATATCAACTGTCTCGAAGAAGGTTTTACTGTGTGCGTGGGAACTTAGATTTGTTTTGCAAAACTATTGCATTAGTAAGTACTCACTACTTATTGTTTACAGTAGAATGTCGAAATGAGTGATTGATTCGCTTTGCCCAAAAGTCAGGAGTCTGTCAGCTGGACTCAGGTGAGATAAATTGGTCGTCTCCTCCGACGGAAGTTGTCACGAGTCGCACTGTTCACTCGGATTTACGTGCCGAGATCGATGTCAAATTGAGAATTGTTTGGATTGTCGAATTTCAGACCAAACACAAAAAGCGAGTACCTTTTTGTATGACCGAATTAACTCTAGATTAAATTGTTGAATTAAGCTTCGAAAAATTGATTTGGACAAGAAAGAATAAAACTGTGTTAATAATCTTAATGCTGATTATGGAGCTGGCTCTCCGATGTTCCAACGCCTTATATATGATGATCTCGGGGCGTTAACCCTTTTGAGTTTAACAGGTCCTTTGTTTTTTGCTCAAGGTATGTTATTTAAAAATTAATTCTAATGCGCAAATCTTAAAGCTAATTTCTGTCTGGTTCCAAACAAAAGAGGACCGTTGAATCCAGGACGTAACACTCCAATACCACAGCCCTCCTCCGGAGTTGTGACGCCCGCCCTCTCCACCAACTCCTGTGCCCATTGGCGTTGTAAGGAGGAGATCGAACGACTCATTGCATTCCATTGCTCATGTAGCTCGCTCGTGCGGGCGTTACCTTGTTCGAGGTATACCCGAGCGGCACGAGTAAGCGAGGTTGTCGCTATTCGTTATTGAAAGAATCGAGTGTTTCTCGATTTCTTGCGCGCCCAGAGGACGGCCTCCTCTACCCGACGGAGAGTGAACGGTGCATACACGTATCGTAAACGATGCAGCGATGTCTATCCTTCCGTTACTTTGCGCAACTGAACTCACAATAGACCAAGTATACTCGTGAGTCAAGTCACGCTCAGGACGAAAAGAAAGACCCGCTGCACCGTTGGTCAAAGTCGGGGAATCAAACCACACCGACGTAATCATTCGGCTCCGATAAATTTGTCGCGTATCTGTGAATTTCGCGAATTGCACCCTTCACTCATTCTACTATTTCAGCATCAGACTGAATTTCGCGGATCTCAAATGTCGCCTCTCTCCCTATTACCCCGAATTTCTCAAATCTACAAGTTTTCCGCCCATAAAATTATATGATTGTATTTGTTATTATTATTATTATTATTATTATTATTATTATTATTATTATTATTATTATCCCTGACCTGTTCGCCGTTGTTGTTGTTGTTGTTGTCATCGACGGTGCTGACGGTGGCGGGGTTGACGACGCTGTTAAGAGTAACGTTGCTCCCGGTATAGCGGTCATCATTAGCGGTGGCTGCGGTGTCGGTATAACATTCACCAGCGTTGGCGTTACTGCTGCACTCTTTGTTGTTGCTGTTGTTGCTGCTGTTGTTGTTGCCGCTGTTGTTGCCGCTATTGTTTCCGCTGTTGTTGCCGCTGTTGTTGCCGCTGTTGTTGCCGCTGCTGTTGCTGCTGCTGCTACTGCTGCTGCTGCTGTTGTTGTTGCTGTTGCTGCTGTTGCTGCTGCTGCTGTTGTTGTTGTTGTTGTTGTTGGAAGCGACCTGTTCACTATTAATATCTTCTTCTTCTTCTTGCGCAGCAACAACACCTGCCGCTCCGCCGCCATAGTGCACTATAAAAAAATAGCTAGTACAACAATATTAAACCTTTAAGTATACCAACAAACACTGAGCAATTGATGTTACACAGAGTAAAAGATCCAATGTTTCTTTTTATTATTGAATCACACGTTTAATTTTTTTAAATTTTTTACCTTTATAGGTTGTATCTTTAATCTATCAACATTGTAACGGTGTGTAAATATTATTTTATACTTTATATTTTTTAGTTTAATTCTAAATTTTATATTGACAAGAAAGTGAAATTAAGGCAACGAATTATCAGCTATATATATGTATATGTGTATGTATTGTATCATGTGTAAGTGGATCTTTTAATTTTTTTTTTGCATCAAATTATATACAATTATAAGAAAGTATATGTATATACAACTATTCTAACCTTCCACGATGGAATCTTCATTGTCGTCGTCGTCGTCGTTGTCGTCTTCACTGAACTCCGACAAATGAATCGTTTCTCGCTCAAAGATGTCTGCGAGCTATTCATCCACCTGCTTTCTTTGTAATTTGTATGACCGCTTCTCTTCCGCTTCTGCCTGTTGCTGCTGATCAGTGGCATTTCCAACATGCAGTATTTTTCACGTCTTTATCTAAAAATTCAATATTAAAGTTTATATATCATTTCTGTATATTTCTCATTGTTTCCTTATTTAGAGATAGTTTACTTCCCGGAATCAAGGGCTATAGGAGGAGAAAGTTTAATCTCTACGGGCTTTTCCTAAAATGTGAAAATCATTAATTAATATATTTTTATTCTACAAGGTAGTTCTTGTTTTATTGCTTATAAACTTACGCAGAGGAGGTTCATTTGCTTTTTCTTCTTTTTCTTCTTCTACCCCCTCTTGCCGTCACCGTAATAAAAACAGGTGACCTCTTCTCCGCATTGGCGCTACTCGCGCTATCGGGCAAGGTTCCGCGCGAAAACGACGGGGCACGAGCGGCGTCCCATTCCGCGGAACGATCTCCAGCGCGCTCGCTTCCTGCTGTTGCTGCTGCTGTTGCCGAGGAGCAACAGCAAGCCGAGGTACCTACGTTTCCGGTGTTTGTATCATCGCCATTTCTGCTTCGTCAATTTTGTTCGCTAAAATGAAAATTATTTGCTCATTATTTAGAAATTTTTAAGCGTGCAAACTTACAAAATTATAAAAATTTGTTACTCACCATCGTTATCGGCTACCATGCGTGCGATTAATCCACGCACGTCTTCCTCCTCGTGGTTAAACACTTTGCGAAGTTCTACCGCTTTGCACGCAATATGGAGCAGGTGACAATCTTCACTGAAAAATCCCGCGTTATGTAACAGCACGAGAAAAGAGTTTGACATGTGAAATACAAAGCTTCTAAACACTTTAATATTGTCTCCCCCGTTTGATAAAAATAACGTTAATTCGCACAAGTCTTCCAGCAGCGTATTACACTGAATCGCGTATGCAATAATATCTTTAATATTCTTAACCGACATTTTGCACTTAGAAAATAGCAAAATAATAAAATTAAACAAACGGTTTGACGAGATAATCAAAGAATGGCAAAAACTACGGTGCCTATAGTCCAGGAAAGAAAATAGCACTTACTCTGGAAAAAAATCGCGCAGAACACTGGATAAAGAATTTGTTGGAGATCACTCTGATTGCTCCAAATTCAGATTGTGTTTTGTGCTCTTTGCAACAGATCTTTTATACGCTGTTTCATCCCCAAAAATTACAAAGTGAGAAGTGAGCTAGGATGTCACAAACTGACAAACCGGTTGTTACTCGGAAATATTATAAAGTTTTTATAATTTTTTGTGCCAGCGGTAAGAAAAAATCTGTTCTTGCTTTTCCATAAAGTTGATATTGATTTTTTAATTCTAAAATAAATTTTTTATAGATGAAAAAAATGATCCTAAGATGTCACATATTAATATTGACCGTCTGTTAGTCATACTACCATGATCAAAAAATAACCGGAATTTTTAATTTAAACCTCGCGGGCTTATTGGTTTAGAATTCTGTTGTTTGTGTCACGTTGGCAGCACTGTTACGGACACCCATGCCAAGCTTCTGCTTATCAGCTGTTCATTTACCTTTATGACAGTGATTTCTTTACATCAAGTTTTTACGTCGCGGCAATTTTTACAATGCATTCAAAACTTGAACAACGTTCTTGCATTAAATTTTGCTATAAAAATGAAATTAAGTGTTCCGACACATTAAAAATGTTAGAAAAGTGTTATGGTGACAATACTCTATCGAAAACACAGGTGTACCAGTGGTATGAACGCTTTAAAAGTGGTCGTGAGGCTGCTGAGGACGATGCTCGTCCTGGGAGGCCATCGACATCGAAAAAACTGATGAAAACGTCGATGAAATCCGACAATTGTTGATCGAAAATCGCAAATTGACGATAAGGGAGATAGCTGAGACCACCAACATATCATTCGGTTTCGTTCAGAGCATTTTGCGTGAGGATTTGGGTCTGAGGCGAGTCACTGCGAGATTGGTGCCAAAAGAACTNAATTTCGTGCAAAATTTCTCGTGAGTTTCTCGTCAAAAACAACACCAATACCATTCAACAACCGCCCAATTCACCTGATCTGGCACCATGTGACTTTTTCCTATTCGATCGACTCAAAAACCCACTACGAGGAACTCGTTTTGAGAGAGTGGAGGCAATAAAGCTAAAATCGCTGGAGGCACTAATGGCTATACTAAAAACCGACTTCCAGAAAAGCTTCGGGGTGGATCAAACGCTGGCACAAGTGCATCGCAGCCGACGAGGATTACTTTGAAGAGGACAACTTGAATTTTGAAGAATAAACATGTACTTTTCTTTTTATGAATAAATTCCGGGTTTTTTTTTATTATGGTAATATATAGTTTCCACTATTTTTGTCAACACGATGAAACACATCCATTAGCTCCGTTTCCATAAAAACGGAGATTTACATCCCTGATCCGCAATAAACAACTGAAGGACTTGCGATATATGGACCTTTGATTACTGACTCTGAAATTGCACTATGAAACTTTCTCGAAGATTTTTCGAGATAGACACGTACGTGGAAACACGTTGCAGCAGCAGGATGCGTGATATAAAAACAGCTTATATCACATAATTTTTCATTTATTTTCTATGCGCGGGAATGCCGCAACGATTTTGTTTTAATTTTTTGTTTTTTAATAAAGTGCGTGCGACTAGGACGGGTTTCGTGCGGAAAAAATAAAACACAATATATATATTGTTACGAGGCGGACACCGCATGTGTGTCACGGGTATTGCGTGAACGGCGCGCGCTCGGCGCGACTGTCGGTTGCCGGGCGACGATGGTTGTTGACGAGAAGAAGTTCGAGAGAGATACGAAGCTGTCACGGCGCGTTTCGGCGATTCGTATTACGAGCTGTTCTATGATTGTAATTTGAGCTATAATAAAGTGTGTTTGACGACAAGCTGCGTACCCTCTTGTTTCCGCGGGCAAGTGCGTGTTTCGCGACGTAGTTTTAGCGCGGCCGCGAACGCAACAATATTTTATTTTATAGAACGACACCATATTTTAATTTTTATTTACATTAAACTCTATTTTTGTATACAAACAAATCGAGAGATACGACATTACTTTTAATGCTTTGCTAAAATAATTTGAACAATATTATCCAAATAAAGTGTACACATTTTTAGAAATTGTAATCGTTACGGCCGGGACCGACCATCAGTCCCGGCACAAAAACGGCGCATAGCGCCTAATAAAATTTAATAATTACAGCGTGTATCGAAATATACGCTGTACAAGCGGATGACACACCGCCCGCGCCGGGAGCGTCCCGTTTGCCCACGTTGCGATTGCCCACAGTGACTATTGCCCACGTTGCGATTGCCCACGTTGCGATTGCCCACGTTGCGATTGCCCACGTTGCGATTGCCCACGAGTTGCTTTTG